TTACTGTTATAATTTTACGTTTGTATCTATTATGAATTGTGATCGGCAAAAATTTTCAATAGTCACGTTACACGAATAGAAGGTCCATTATGCTGAAGTGCGATATGGAGTGATGAAAGTCGATTTACTCTTTTTGGTAATGATGGACCAACACAAGATTGGCACAAGGATGGAACTCACTATAACATTGAAAATCTTTCACCCTCAGTGAAGCATGGTGGAGGAGAAATAATGGTTTGGTGTTGTTTTACTGCCAAGTGCTTAGGTCCATTGATGAAAATAGAGGGGAAAATGAAGCATCAGGATTATATTAACATTTTAGAGAATGAATTGTTGCCATTCATTCAAGAAAATTTTCATACAAATCATTACAAATTTCAAGATGATAATGCTCCTGTCCATACAGCAAAAAATGTTAAAAAATGGATGACCAAGAAAAACCTCAAGGTCTGGCCTTCTCAGTCTCCAGACCTTAACCCCATTGAACACTTGTGGAATGAGCTTGGTAGAAAGTTAAAACAACACCCTGGTTGCCCAAAAAATAAAGCTGAATTGGAAACTTTTTTGAAGCAGGAATGGCAACAAATTCCCCATGAAACTTATTTGAATTTAATTGATAGTATGTCTAGAAGAATAGAAGAACCATATACTAAAAAAATATTTCAAAATCACTTTTTATTTTCATTTTTTTTTTTAAGAAATAAATTGGTAATGAATATAATTGTGAGAACCAGAGCTTTCAAATGATATAAAAATCGTGAAATTTTATTTAGTATAATTGAAAAAAATACATGAAAAATTTTGGACATAAACTTTTGTCCACTGAGTGTAATATAGCAAATTATGAATAATTGATAAAACATTCATCAAGTATAACGATTTAGAAGGACTTTTATTTACATATTTAATAGATAATATTAATAATAAGCACAGATTATAGTTGTAAAAACCAAGGTTTGTTTGTTATATTCACTCTCATTAATTCCGATGTATATAAGATCTAAGTGACCATGTAACAATTTTATATATTAATAACAAGCACAGATTATACTTGTAAAAACCAAGGTTTGTTTGTTCTATTCACTCTCATTAATTCCGATATATATATTGTGTAACAATGTTATATATTAATAATAAGCACAGATTTATACTTGTAAGATCAAGGTTTGTTTTGTTATATTCACTCTCATTAATTCCGATGTATATAAGACCTAGGTGATTGTGTAACAATTTTATATATTAATAATAAGCACAGATTATAGTTGTAAAAACCAAGATTTGTTTGTTATATTCACTCTCATTAATTTCGATGTACTGTATACATGATCAAAGATAAAATGTTGATTTGATGAAGTCAATGAAAAGTTGAAAAGCAAATGATATATTATACTGTATAACAAAAAACCAAGCCTATGTATTAAAAACATTCAATAAAGAAATACCATTACTATATTAATTTTTTTCAATTTGGAACTAAATTTCCTTCCCTCCGATATTAATATTTGTTTTTCAAATTTGCGTAACGATCTTCAAGCCAATTAAATTTAATTTTTGTGTGATATCTGGAAGGGAGATCGTCACAAAATTTAGCCAATGAAATCAAATGTCCACTATGCTGACATAATTGAGATGAGTCAGATTAGCGATAATAATTTTATTCATGTAACGTTTATATTGTTTATATTGAATGACACTTGATCGCGTCTATCAAATAACAAACTTATTTTTCTTTTTATAATAAACATGCCGAAAGACGTAAAAGCAAGAATTGGAAGAAAAAAAACAATACATCTGGATCAAAAGAATGGTGGTAGTTATCGCCATTCGTCGTCACTCTAGTAGATCTTGAAGAATCTATTAAAAAAATATTCCAATGAAATCTTAGATAATGAAAATATAACGATATTACCAACATCGATCGAAGATTTAAAAATATATGATCAGGATACATCAGATGATTTATTAGATAAATATATTGAAAAATTTAAAAGTGAAGCATTCGAATTCCGGGTGATTCCAGGTATGTTGTCTGTCTAAAATATGTATATGTGTCTATGTCGTTCATTTGGTTTTTATTAAAGCATCATTTAAATTTTTTTAATATATCAGTACAAAAAGAATTATCCAGTTATTTGAGCTTCACAAAAGTTACTAAATTATATGGAATCCAAGTGCCAACAATACAAGATCTAAAACAATTTGTGGAATCCTGAACAAAATGGTTAGTCACTGTGTTTGAAGGTCAAAAAACATTTAATTGATTCAGCTGAAATGATTCATTAATTAAATGTTTTTTGTGTTTTATTAGCTAGAACTACGACCATCACTTCATTTTATTAAAGATCATCCCAACATTAAAACAAATCAACCTTGTCTCGTGTTATATATAACCCACAAACAATATACAAAATTTTGGTGGATCTGCCAACGAACCTACAATAACTGAATTTGCATCAGCTGTTATGCACAGCATTATTGGAAGTTTAAATGGATCTAATTTGTATTCCCCATTTACCCTGTCTGGTACATCAGGAAATTTTCCCTGCCGCAATATTACATCCATAAATTTTAATATGTAAAGTTGTAATATTTGCATAAAAATTATGTAATATTTACACTCGATGTAATAATTGCATCGGAAAAATTTCCTGATATATATATGGCCGTGGTCATGGTCGTGTGGATTATGCCATCAAGCAACGTAATGAACTCCTTTGCATTACGGAAATAAAAGCTTTAGAACTTGAACTCAGAATAACTCTAAATATAGTATGTTTTATTTTTTTTTTTTTTTTGTTGTTTCTTAGCATTCTGTAGTTGACATCCATATATATTTTCTTAATTTAATAGGCAATTTAACTATAATGATTCTCTTAGTGGTATTTCGATGATATATGTATTAAAGACTAGTGCCGTAATCCAAAAAAGGAAAAAATATGGTTGCAAAAGTGGCTGCAAAGGTAATTGTGACCACTTTTATATGCCGTAAATACAATTACTACCTTCATCATAATTTACGGCACTAGTCTTTAATATGTATTTATTTCTTCTGAATTTAAAGCTACGGCTTCAACTAGAAACATATTACAACTAAATATATCAAGCGAAAATGTAAATGAAGAACAATTGGCGATGGATCTTAAGGGATGTTTGAATAGTATCGGACATTCATCGGAAGAAAAAAAGAAAAACTTTGATCATATTCTAACAAAAAGTTATTATTTTTAATTGTTACAATAATAATATCATAAACAAATACTACCTGAAGATGAAAAAAAAACTTTGAAACAAACAAAATTCGTTATTTGTAAAAAAGATTTTTCTCTAAGTTATTTTCCTGCTCAATAATAAAAATTATTATCTTGTTATTAAAACCATATTCTTGATACTTTATTTACTGCCGTCTATTAAATGAAAAACAATATTTAAATAATTTGTAAGGTTATGTTTGAGGCGTGTTCTACATAATATTTTTTATATTTTCACCTATTACTATGTGATTTATTTATTCTATTGTTACTACACTATTGATCCCTGAAATCTTTGGTAATACCAATGTTCACTTCGTCTGGTTTTGTCCCATATAATTAATTTTTATTGGTTGGACCAACTGATCGTGGCCCTAGATTTATAGATAGACAATGTGATTATTGTTGATACTCATTAGTAAATTATATTCTTTTTATTTGATAAAATTGATTTTATGGTATTGATCCTAATTTCTGCTTGTAGGAGAATAAAAATGAAAATGAAGTAGAGATTAGAAAATTGAGGAAGGAATTAAAAGTATTGGAAGAAAAATTGACTTCAGGCAAAGATCTCATAATGCAAATAACTTGTTGGTTCACTTAGTATATGAAAACAAGCGGGTGTGATTTTTAAAAAAATAATAAATTTGGTAATTTTGTATTATTAATTATTACACAAATTTAATTTTAAAAAAAAATATTAGTAACATTTCCAGAACTAAATACAAGTTCTATGTCTATGCAGACAGCTAGCTTACAATAAGATGTCTCAGGTGTAAGC